TTTAAATTGTCATAGTATGTAACTCAAGTTAAAATAACACTTTTCATTACTCGTGCAGCTTAATCAAATATTATGTCATTTTAAACGACCCATTGGTATTAACTCGGTAACATCAATGTATTTTTAAAAATTAGACAGCAACGTTCTCTCAGAAGTTGTTCTGCAGACGTTTATCTGTTGATGACCTTTTGACCTCCTGAATTCTGCAATGAGATTTTCGGGTCGATTCAGCCGAGACGGCCCGAGTGGATTTTCATGTAAATGTTTCGTACGGAAAAAAAAATCGCATCCGGCACTGCGTGTTCATTCCTCTGATCATGCGCCTAACTTCTAATTCATTTATGCTGGTACATACTAACGGTGAATTTCATCTAGTTAGTTAATTTATTTATTCATAGGCCTAATAAAAGATTATTTATTAGATATTGAAAGCGTTCGTGAATTTATCAATTGTACACTTTCATTACGGTACGTTTCTCTTGAAAGGCGCCTTATAATTTTCATATATTATTAATACATTACTTGAATTATTACAATTTAATGTGATTTCTTAATAATATTATATTCTGATATTTCTTCCAACTAATTGATGATCGAGTATGTTAGCCTTATGTACGGTATTATAAAATAAAATACAAATAATTATGTGTACAAAAAATGTATAGGCTATAATATATTACTATAAAATACTTGTTTAACAGTTAATTTTTTTTAAATTTAAGATGTTCCGTTATAAAATGCACGGTATTAAAATTTTAGTTGCTGTACAGAGAATCCTATCCACATATAACAACCAATCAGGATTAAGAATTGGTTTACCACTGCCTAATTTTTATTTCTTATGAAGGAACTCATTGGATGACTGAGATTGTGAAGAGTATTTTAGCCGATGGTGATTATGAAAAAGCAGAGAAAATGTTTGGTATCCACCCAAAGCCGTTGGAGTTTTTCACCACACTCTCCGATTACGCAAAGAGACCACGTGACAAGCAACGGGTGATCGTCACACATCTTCACGAAGAACTGTTACCAAAAGCGGCCTTAAACGGCAAAGCAAAGGTAACATTTTTATATCTTATATATTGTATTTTTATATATTTTTGGATAAAAAGTATAAACATATTATAGGCCTTTACTAGGAGCGTTTACAAAACAAAATGTCAATGGTAATCAAGACAAAGTATTTTAGTAGACACGTGTCAACACAGACAACCCAAGGCATTTTATTATGAAAAGAATATGATTTAAAGTATCATCAAATCATCAATTGTATAAGTTGATTGACTGTTTGAAATAAATTGCTTATTTCGTTGTTTATGAAATCGGCCAGTAATTTAACGTAAACCATTAAATTACTGGATATAATATATTAATTAAGTTGATTTATGATTTTATATTGAATTGTAATGTTTATTTTGACAATGAAATAAAATGAAAATAAAATATTTTTTTCCATTGTTTGTAGATTGTGTTTGTAATTAGGAACCCAAAAGATTCCGTAGTATCGTACTTTCATTTCGCACAACCATTCCGATATGCTGAAGAATTCGACACCTGGGAAGGATTCTTGAAATGTTTCATGTCTGAAGGAAGTAAGTACACGGACGGGTACTAATATACTGGTAGATCCAAGTTGGGGCGGAGTGGGGGTAGGGGCGGAGGGGGGGTAG